CGGGGCGGGGCGCGCTTCCCACACTTCCCGCTTCCGGACGCTGATGCGCGGCTTCACAAGAATTAATGACGAGAGGCTTCGCGACACTCTTGCATTACGGAGAGCAGAGATCCGTCATCCCGAAGAGGAGCCGACGGGGGAGAAATAAGAAGGTTTTAGGGCTTTATTGGAGGGGGCGGCACCAGGGGCGGCACCAGGGGGAGCGCCAGGGGCGTGGCGGGGACAGGGCGGCGGGGGGCGGCAGTGGGCGTGCAACATCCGGCGCCGGCAGCCCGTGTCAGCTGATGGGAAGAGCCGCAGCTGGTTATCGTGGACATGACGTCACGGGTTCGACCCCTTCCTCCCCCAACCCGCCGACACCTCCTTGTTGTTTTTCTTTTTTTCCTCCTTCTTCGGACGGACACGGGGAAAAGGCGGCGGCGTGTCGCACTGAACTCGCCATGCCTGCCTCTCCCCGGCCGGGAGAGCGCGGCAGACGGGCTATGGTCTGACGTTCCTTTGAGCGCCAGTGTGGCACGACGGGCGGGGCGGGGCGGAGCGGGCCGGGGCGAGGCGCTGCGGGGGAGTACTTTCCTGTCCGGTCCTGGCGGCCCGCCCGGGGGGGCTCCGGGTCGGGCCCGCCGAAGGGAGAGCACAGCATATAGACAGACACTTCAAAGTGGCCAGCCGGTGATGGGGATCGCAGGCAAAACACGGCGGCCAAAGTGGATCGGGGGAAAGAAAAGCGGAAAGCGGGCGGCCCGCCGAGTGCACCGCGGCCAGCGCATAGCAGGTAGGGGCGGGGGTCAAGGGTCAAGGACACTCGGATTGAACAAGCTCGCGGCCAGCTTCTTACCATCCGTGTTTTGCCAGCTCCATTTCCGTTCCACTGGCACCACGGTATTCGTCTGGAAAAAAGGAGGACCTAACCTGGCTTGGCCAGCCGCCTGTGGCGTTTGGTCGGGCATTCGGCCCAACCAATGAGCCACTTAAAGAACCCCGCATAGAACCTTGATTTAAAAAACACACACACACACATTTAAAATAGAAATAAGCCGAGTAAAAACGTAGCAGCACGTTGCGAAATAATGATAATAATAATAATTATAGTAATAATATAACTCCTGGCTGCTGCCATTAGCGCGCTCAAAGTGGCCGTACCGCAGCATCAAAGCAGGGCCCAGCGGACCAAGCTCCGTTTAGTCCGCGCGTGTGAAAAATTCGCGGGGGAGGAAAAAGGGAGTGGAGTGAGGGGCGGAGAGCGGCGCAGCGCTGCGAATACAAGGACGCGTTCACAACTGACATAGTTTCAAAATATCAATTACCAAACTTGGTAAATTTTGAAGTTTTTTTCCCCCTGGTTAGTTCCCTTGGCCCCTTTCCCCCCACACACATTTGACACGTCGGGTCGGGGTGACCGCGCCGTATTTTCGTTTGCATACTACACTCCGCGTTCGTGTTTATTTTGCGTCAAGTGCCACGACACGTATGATCGCGGCCCCGCCCCGCCCCGTCCCGTCCCGCCTACGCCACACGCACCGCGATCACCCCGTCACGGCCGCGCCATTAGGCCCCGCGTGCGCGCCGCGTGATAAGCGGAGCGCGTGATAGTGCGTGGCGTGGCGGGGCGGGGCACACCGATCAGTGCGTTATACTTCTCGCATTCATTCAGTTGGAGTACTCGGAGAGGAAAATACAAAATTAGCTAAAATAGTGAATGTAGTTACCAACTTTTGGCATTAAGATCAAGAATATTTGTAGCGCTCGCCTTGGCTAAGTATATTACCTAAGAAAGCTAAAGAACAGTAGACATAGAGCAGCAGTCGGCTAGGAAAAAAAAAAGAACTAGCCGTGAAAGCTAGTATTTTAGCTCTCTCTTAGCTAATAATTAGCTAAGACAGCTTACATTCTGCGCTAAGGCCAAATAACTGGCGAACAATGGAAAAACAAAGGTATACTGTAAAAAATGTGCTATAGGACTCAAAGGGTTTTTAATGCCTCTACAAATGATTTAAAAATTAGCACCCCTGCAAAGGCATTCAAACTGCCCAAAGGTATTAAAATTTAATGCCTTTGAACACTTTCGTGCCTTTGCAAAGGCAAATTTAACACCCCTAGAATGGTCTTAAGTCGTACCTTTTGTTTTTCCATAAATTAGCTATTTTAGCAAATTCTTTTTTTCAAATGTATCACTCTTCCTTATAATGCTGATATGTTATGTGCAAGGGTATAAAAATGAACAGGCGTCATGGATTTGTTGACGGTAAGAACTTCTTTTTCCCCAGTACGTGCGGCGGCTCGCCGCATTGCTTTTATGTACACTCTCGCGGGCGGGAAAAAAATACACCACACAGCAAGAAAGTGTGTTTGGTGTGGCGAGCGGTGGAGGCGCGGGCGGCGGCGGGGCCGCTCAAAGAGACGTACGCGATGAGCGCCCCGTGTTAAGTTGGATGGTGCGGGCCGTGCGGCCGCGCGAGCACGGAGTGCCCTGGCAGGGAGTAGAAGCCCATACCGTCAAGTTTTAACCACGGCACTGTTTGGCGAACGCTCTGTAAACAACGCAGATACAGTCATACGCAACTCACGTCTCTCTCTCCGGCCGCGCGCATGAAGGCTCTCTCCCTCTCGTCTTACGCGCGACGGTCGAACTTTAATTATTTCACGCGGTGCGACGTGCGGCGGCGCGGGAGCCATCTAAACATCCACCTCGCGCGCTCTCTCTCTCACTCTGAGCTGCGCTTGCATTGTGCCGCCTCGCCGCACGCGACCAACAACCGTATTGCGAATGTGCGGGAGGGAAAATAGAAAAGTGGGTGGCAGCAGGGGCGGCGTGGAGCAGACGAGGAGGTAGAAGGAGGCCCTCAACAAGTTCGCGACCCCCTGGACGGGCCGTCCCTGGGGGAATGCCGCGTCAGGTGGAAAACTCCCCCCCCCCTTTCTCTCTCCCCAACCCTTGCCGCCCTACGTACGTACAAGGGGGCCGCATGTGCGGTGTACAGCGCACACTGAAAATTTTTCTGCAAAGTGTTCACATAATTAAATAGTAATTAATTCTAGGCTGGGATTGTTATTGGAACACGGACTACAGCAACAAGCTCGTCACTAGCAACTTCAAAACATTTTGGTTCTGCAGGCTGCAAATTGCATGACAAAAGTTTGCCGCACTTAAAATTGCACAACAGTTCTGCACTCGGATTAGCACAGTGTTCTGTTGTTGCAGGCTACTCGCGTGGCCCGATGTTGGAGAGCTCCCGACAAGCAGGAAGCGCCTCCAGGTAGGCAACAATCAGCACCTCCGCAGGAGCCGGACGCCCGCGCCTTTGCATATACACTGTCAATTTCAAGGTGTCCCCTTATGTAGTACGTCCCGCCCACTTGGAATTCCGCTGCATATGTTAGGGGTAGTCAAGGCTTAGGTCCATACCCCTGAACCTTAACTCGCAATCCTCAATGGCCATATTTTAGAGATGCTTTGATTTCAGAGGAGAGGAGGTGGGTAACAGTATAGTCGGGGGCGGCGTCACGTCCCGGCCCCCGCGCGCAGTCAAAGGCTAATCGGCTCACCACACGGAAAAAAAAGAATTAGCTAAATTAGCTAATGCATTCGCTAATGTGGCCTTAGGTGAGAATATTAGCTCTCCTAGCTAATTCTTAGCAAGGAGAGCTAATAAATTAGCCATAACAGTTGTGTACAAAATAAAGCAACTAGCTGTGAAAGCTAATATTTTAGCTTTCTTAGCTGGGAATTAGCTAGGAAAGCTAATATTCTCATCTAAGGCCATATTAGCGAATGCATTAGCTAATTTAGCTAATTCTTTTTTTTCCGTGCAGCACACCCAGCAAAGTCGTGAAAAGGGAACCATCACAAATGCGGCCGGTGAGCTGGAACAACTGTTGTGACCGAACTCACACGCAGGAAAGCATGTTCTTGACCCCCGATTTCTCAAGAACAGGGCAATGCAATTGTCATGTGCACCAATGCAATTTGCATTTGGAAAGAGACAATGTTCTCGGTTCAGCCGAGCATATCTGCTTCACTCAAGAACACACTTTTGGGGGGGCACCTCCTCACTCTTACCTGTGTTTCATTATTACTGCGGATAAGTCTGCCAACGGCCAGCAGAAAGGCGGGGAAGAGGGAGGAGGGAGGGAGG